AATTTAAAAAACCCGACAAAAACAACAAAATCAAGAAAGTTCCTTTTCTTTTCTTTTATCATACTTTCCTTCTCATTTTCTTTCTTTTACTTTTTTCTCCTTCCTTCCTCCTTGCCTCCTTTGTCCATTCCCTTCTCTCTCTGTCTCTCTCTAATATTAATTTAACTACATTTACTAGATCGGGACTATCGAACGTTTCACCACTTTCCCTTTTTCAATTTGATTGAAAAAAACAAAAAACTAAAATCAATCGTATTTTTTTCCTGGTCGAAGCGAGCAGGAATAAAAGGGGAAAGAAAATTAACAAGCTTTAGGCCTAATTATTAGAGAATAGATAAAAAAAGAGAGAAAAGAAAATCACCTATTTGCGGATAGATAATGAAAAGAGATTATGAAAAGGGAAATAAGGATTTTTCCCTATTAATTTTTTTAAGCAAAAAAAGTGTTGAACGTTAGAATGTCGTTCGATAATTTACAGTATTTTTTCTTTTTCTTTTAGATTTTCAAGTGTTCAATTTTCAATTAAAAATCAATTAGGCTAGATTTATTGTCAGCTTTATTACCAGACTATGTATTTTCTGTCATTTAAAACAGCTCCAAAAACGCTATAGGATGATTAGTCACACAAACTTCAATTTTTTGCCTATTATTTAATATTCATTGGCTTTTGTTTAAAAACTATTACCTGCTTGTTTAGAACAACAGAAAAATTAAGTGGAAAAGTAGAATATATAGCAAAAATATAAATATTAATACATTTCCGTGACCCAATTTAATTATAGAAAACCAGCCCTAGAAAACCTTCGATTAATCTAATAGCTGACGCAATAGAAACGAGTAGTGAGAATGTCAAGTTGAGCGCAAACATTTTGCAAAGAATGTACTTTTTACTGTCTAGAGTATATTCCATAAATGTTTATTATTAGCAGCGACGATTGTTTGTTGGTTTCAGTTCAAAGTTGCTGGTAATTACTGGCGTTTCTATAATGTTCAGTTTTTACCGTATAAGTCAATATGTATTGAACGTATTTCTCTGCCAAATCGATAGCAATACGATCGCATAGAGAGAAAACAAAGGATTTGGATTACATTCTGAATTCTTTTAGGCAAAAAAAAACTCTTTTATTCCATTCAGAAAAAAAAATTCTACTATACTTTCCTTTCTATTGTTTTGTTTTTGTCTCACATGATTTTGAAGGGAAAAGAAAGCTCTTTATCTTTTCTTTAGCTATCTCTCTCTTTCTCTCTTTGCTTGCCATTTTTCGCCGTTTGCTATTCTACTTAAATATTTACATTATAGTCTTTTCCGCTTCTCTCCTCCTCCTCCTCCTCCTCAATTCACCGACACTGATTTCATGTAGTCATTAAGCAATTCATCATAAGTAGTTGACATTGCGTGACCGACAGGCATTTCGTGACAAAACAACGAATGTCTTTAATAAATCATTTTCCCCAGGTGGGATTTAGGAGACGCCTTTTGCGACGCGTGGACATCGCTGGACGTCCTATTATGCACAGCCAGTATTATGAATCTGTGCGCTATCAGTATTGATAGGTGAGTAAAGCATCGGTAAATTCAATTAGTAGCCCTATTTTAAAGTTTTGCTGTAATTAAGTTGAAAAAAACTCGATTCTCTTTTCAACATTTCACCGTAAACACAGATATCTCGTCATAACCCGTCCTTTTGATTACGCATTGAAGAGAACACCTTCAAGAATGGGTTTAATGATCTTGATTGCTTGGGTGGCATCCGCCGCTATCAGTATTCCTCCAGTTTTCGGTTGGAAACCTACTCGATCGGATGGAGTATGTATCATATCTCAAGACATCGGATATCAATTCTACGCCACTATATTCGCTTTTTACTTGCCATTAGGAGTAATGATTTTTATTTATGGAAAAATTTACAAGGTAACATTTTTATATAGTCGTTTTCTTTCCTTCCCTTTTTTTTATTTCTAATTAAGCTACTTATTTATTTATTTCTTCTATTTCTTCCTTTTAAATTTTTTACTACTTAAAAAGAGGGTTTTTATTCTCTTTTCTCACGGTATATACGTAATATTGCTCTATTTAATCTAATCGAAATTCCTAAAAATCTCCTTTCTCTCTCTCTCTCTCTCTCTCTGCTCTCTGTTCTTCTCTCCAGCTCCACCTTCCCATCCTTCTTCTTAGAATAAAGAAGTTTATATACGTTGTATATAAATAATAAAAAGAGAAGAATGAGCCTTAAGCCTGCCTGAATCGCAAATTAATTAGACTTCAGAAAAAAATCATTTCAAATTGATCTTTAAAACTTCAAAAGCTATTGATTGTCTATAAAGGACAAGGTTGAACAAGGTCAAATGTCCTTTTTTAAAAATTACTACTTTCTCTTCTCCGTCTTGTCGAATCATCAGCTAGTTGAGTTAGGAAGAAAAAGCTTTTACTTACTTAAAAATATGTCACATCTCGGTAAATAGCTAGCAATTTTTACCGTTTTTCTATCATCAAGAAGATGAGCCTATCGAAAAGTGCACATGACACAACCAGATATGCCAAAGGCGTTTTGGCCTCATTAACTTTTCAACAGTATTACTATATGCCTACGACTACTGTCGTTCCCCAGCAAATTTTCTATATGTATAATAATTCCTTTTCCGGCTATTGATATAAACTACAAGTGACATAATTGATTAACGAAATTGAAAACCTACGAAACAGCCCATAACACTAAGAGGAAAAGGAGATTGCTCTTTGACCCCTTTCTTTTTTGCTGTAGAGAAACCTCAAAAAGATTTTTTTTCTCATTTGCCTTAAAAAAAAAAAGAGGAACACTGCAAGGCCCCTGATATTCCCCCTCCCCCCTTTGCGGTTGTTTCTTGATAAATTACTCGTATTATTTCATTAGAAACTTTGAAACTCCATTAGAATGGAAGACAGTCATAAATATGTGGAAATATAAAAGTGTTTATATATATATATATATATATTCTGTATGTTCTATATATTTCAAATATTCGGTATATAGACACACAACCTACACCCGTTTACCTACAAGTTCTGTTTGATTGTATATTTGACCGCAGGGCCAATACGAAAATATTGAAATCATTACAAATAATAAGATATTCAATTGTCCAAAAATTGATCAAAAATAGTAAAATATCAGGCGAAAACAGTAAAAAACAATACAGTAAATAGAATCTCGACGTATAAATAAAGAAAAACTAGAAGGAAAGGAGAAAAAGAGAAAATATAATTCCTATAAACGCCAGCGTCGTTACCCCAAAAGACCAACTCTTTTCATATCAGACGACAAACACGCCCTTACAAAAAATCGTATAATCCTTTTCCCTTCAATCGGGCGTCGCAGATTACGGCTAATAGACGCCCATAAATTCGGATAATCTAACGGACATTTCCGTATAATGAAAGAGTAAATATTAATTAGGAATAAAACGCACTTAAGCCGTTTATATAGCCCATGTTTTTATGCGTTTAAGCGTGCAACTAAGTATGGGAGTTGGCGTTTTATCTAACTATAGGCTCAATGAAATATAGCTCACATATCCTCCACGCATACTTTAACCAGCCTAAATTTATTCTTTTTAGAGTGTAGATTAAAATTTAGCCTATAATGAAATTAACTGTTCAATCAATTGGATTGACGGAAAGGTATTGGAATGTGACATAGAAAAAATAGTCTGTTTGGTATTTCTGTAATTTATCCAAAGATTGATTAATTAGTTTGTTAATAACAAAGTTATAAATTAATTAATCTAATATCCTTGTCATCTTGGCTTTATGTCATTTTTCGTCTTTTTTTATTAGTTTTTTTGGTAGGAGCTGTTTAGCCTATTAAAAGAAAATATCTTTTAAAAGAATAAATGACTATGGATAATAGCAATAATAATAATAATAATAATAATAATAATCATTATTCATCATTATTCTTATCATCGTCCTCATCAGCAGCAGCAGCATCGTTCTATCCCTTTTTCTCTAATATAATCATCCTCTTTTTCATTCTTTAAGTATTAAAACTGATATTTTCTGCCTCATTTCATTTCAATTCCCTTCTATTCTGCCTCTCTCTCTCTCTCTCTGCCTCTGTTTCTGTCTTTGTCTACATTTCCAGCCGCCTGTCTCTGTCTCTGTCTCTGTCTCTCTATCTTTAGAATCATCTCTCTATCCATCCATCCATCTACCTATCTATCTATAGTGCCAAATTTTCTCTTTGCAATATTCGGCTATTAACTAATTTATTTATTTGTGTCCTCTTTTGTGGGAAACGAATGCGACGAATTATAGCAATAAAGATTAGAATAAGACTGTTTATTTTGCATTTTGAATCATTAAGGAATGCTGTTTTAAAGGTAATCTTTAAAAAATGCGGTCGCAGATCTACGTGTATTTTCTGTTCCGCAACCAATAGCAACGGAGAAAAAAATAAATTCTACTATTATCAACCTATAAGATAGTAATTGCGTAATTTTAATTAGGAAACGATCCTTCAGGCTTCCTAACAAAGCAAGGGGATGGAGAGAAGAATTCTTTAATGATGCTTGAGGTTGACTTGTTTAGTATAGGAATAGGAGAGTAAGAAGACGATTAGAGTCGTCTTCTTACCTTTTAAACATACTAGGGATCTAAATATATTCATTGCACCTTTGCTTGCAAGTAAAACGATATCATTAGACGCATATACTATTCGTATTGAATGTTTAGGCGTTGGTAGATTAGGCCTAGCAGTTCAGCTTTTCTAACCGTAGATATTGGAAGAGAGGGAGGGATGGAGAGAATAAACTTTAAGTTAATTTCTACTCTTTTTCTTTTCACTATTCATCTTAAGGGAAGAGGTGAAGAAGGGTTGTAGTGGCGGTGGTAGAAGAAATCAGGATAAATGAATTTCGACAAGATAATGAAAAAAATAGGATAACTTAATAATTTTTGTTTTTTTCTCTCCTTTTTCCACATTATAGGTTAGCCACGATATCAAAATTAAAGAGGCACGATCTCAACCTCGGTGCAGTATGATTAGCGCCTCAGCGAGCACAGCTTTCTCAGACGATAGGAGAAGGTCTTCTGACCAGGCTAAGAACAACGATCGCTCTTCCGGCGACTCTTCAGCCCACATGTTATCGAAACCTCGTAAATCATTAACTAGTGCGGGAGCGGCGATTTCTGGTTTATTAAAGAAAAAGCATAAAGAATCCTCAAGCCGAGAAGGCAAAGCAATTATCACATTGGGTGTCATCATGGGAGCTTTTACCGCATGTTGGCTTCCATTTTTCATTTTGGCCCTCATTCAGCCACTATGCAACCAATGCATACCATCTAGGGTTATGACTTTTTTCCAGTGGTTAGGATATATCAACTCCTTCCTAAATCCGTTCATCTACGCCAGATTTAATACAGAGTTTCGACGACCTTTCAAGGAGATACTGCTCTTTCGTTGCCGGGGTATTAATAAAAGGTTACGATCCTATTCGGGTCAATACGATTGATCCGTCTTTTACAAAAGGCACCTCTCTCTTTGTACAAAAAAAGAATTCGCTCATTTGTTTGTTTTGTTTACAGAGATTTTTATTTTTGGGGCAGTTTATACTGTATTATAAACATGACGTTCGATAGTTTGCTCATAAAATTTTTAAGATATACAGTATGTATATATGTATTTGTATATTTGTATGAGTAGGAGTGTATATGTACAGAACATATATATATGTATATATATACATAAATTTATATATATATATATTTGTATATATATACTAATATGTATGTATGTATGTTTGTATGCCTGTGTGCGAGTGTATGTATGTATTAAGTATGTATAGACGTGCGTTTGTACAATGTATATGTATATGTATACATATATCCCGTAGCGCTTTTCTTTACACTGGTCGAAAGAATACTCGATTGTTTGTTTTTTTTTCTTGGTTTGTTTGTCAATAAAAATTTTGTTGTGCACTGAAAAAAAGAAAAAAAAGAAAACTATCATCAACATGAAAATATGATAGTTGAAATAAAAGTTAATATTAGAAAAGAGAAGAAAGAGGAGAATAAGAGTGAAGAGAGGGAGAAGAAGGAGAAGAAGATTAAAAACAATAATGATAATTGAAGGTTTTAGTAAAAAAATTAATAAAAAGAGCATCTATAAAAGACAAGGAAAAAGATAAAGTTCATAGGATTTAAACGTTGGAAGAAAATCCGTTTCAAAGAAGGGAGAAAGAGAAAAAATTTTTTAGTATTGCATTTCTCTAAGGATTAATAAAGAGTAGTAAAAAGGAAAATGATCTATATTTAAATACAGTAGTATCAAATTCACAGACAATAGAATTACTTTATTAAAAAATATCCATTCCGTCAAAAAACTTGAATATCATCTTTTATAAGAATACAAATTTGCTTTTTTAATTACTTTGAAGAAATGATGATAAATTAAAAAATTAAGCTTAAATCTTTTATTCCATTTCCTGCATTACTCTCTTTTTCTCTCTGTCTCTTTCTGTCTCCTCTCCCCCGTCCCCCCCCCCTCTCTCTCTCTCTCTCTCTCTCTCTCTCTCTCCCACTCTCTCTTAATCTCGTGTCTGGTTCTTTATCTCATATATCTGCTTTTGTTATGTTACTTTTTTAACAGAAATTGAAGATGAAAAAAGCCAATGTTCTTCTTTATATTTTTATTAGAAATTAAACTTTCTTCTTTTTTCCGCCGCTTTCTTATTTTTCTCACGAAGATTATCAATCACAATTTGTGTCAAGAACTGGATAGCAATTTTCTATCTCTCGAAAATATACAATTTAACTAGAACCTCTCCATTTCTGTACTTTACTGGTTACTTCTGATTCTTTGTCGTATTTGTCTAATCTTGTATTTTATTCAATTTTTCTTTTTGAGTTCCCTCCCCCCCTCCTTCTCTCTCTCTCTCTCTCTATATATATATATATATATATATATATATACATTTATAAATATATAGTTTCTCAACTCTCCGTATGAACAATCACCTCCCACATACCTCCCCCTAGCTCCTTCCATTACACCTCTACCCTGTTTTCCTTTTCTCAACGTCCTTCTTCCTGTCTGCCAATCTATCCGCCCCCTACCTCTCCTCCATTTCTTTTTTCTTCTATTCTCTTCTCTCTATCAATCCCCTCGATTGAGGTGGATAATCGATATGTTTTTAATAATAATATAAGGATATGCCTTCTTTAGTATAAATAAGCCTATTGTATTTAATTATTATAATCCGATTGAATTCCTTTTTTGGTGAGTTTACATAAACAACACTAGTCGGACATGGGCACGCTAAAAGAAAAGATTTTTGACAGATGGCGCTAAAGTAGTCGATTTTAATGATGAGCTTTTCTTTTGATCAGAGTGCATACTGATTTAGTCATGCTGAAACGGCTTCGCGCTTAAAACGCCCTATCCTCATTAACAAATATCATAAGGATTTAAGAGAAAAGCGGAGGTGAACGTGCTATTTAAGTTCATTTATTCTGCAATACTTTGGTTAGGTGAAGAGAATGAAAAATATCTTTCAGAGTGCCGGTACACTGTAAAAAGAGACTTTTGTTTCCTTCCAATAACTCCTTTTTTCGACTCGTTTGATTAGTAGCGTCCTCTATTAATAAAGACTAGTTATAGATAGACTAATCCAACAGAGAAACATGAAAGAAAATTATGAAAATTTGATAAATTACGAAGCTAATAAAAACAATAGATGAACGTAATTCTTAAACGATTAAACGATGATAAGAAGAATAAAATTCTTTTGTTCCACCTGCGTAATTTTACCTTTTTCTGTAAACAGTTTAATTATTATCTGTTATACGGAAACTCCTTAATTATATGGATTTAGCCAATCCTTTTAAATCCTAATAGGCGACATTTACCCGCTGCGACTCTACCTCATTTTGTATAATATTGTATTCTTTCATTTAGCAAATCGGTTAAATCAAGGAATATTATCAAAAGATAATTATTCATTTTACCTTTCTTTTCGACGCCTAATCATTAAAAACCACAAATAGTCCTAATATCATTTTTTTTTCTTGTATTAATTAGCAATAAAAAGATACTGTCATAGCTTTAATTCTTCTTACAACCCATTTTGTCTCTTTTATATGTATCTCTCTCTATATTCTCTCTTCCCTCCCCCTCTCTCTGTCTCCTATTTCGAAAAAGAGAAATACGAGATTTACAGGGAGGCGTACACAGACGCAAAAGACGACGAGACAGTAAAAATAGAAGAAAAAAGAATTGAAGAGAAAGGCAAAAGAGGGTCGTTGCTCAAACAGACCAAAGGAGTAGCTAAAAAAAATAACATTTCTTCTATATTGAGAAAAGTGCAAGAGAGAATGACAGTAGTAGAAAGAGAGGAAGGGAAAGAGGTGGGGGAGGGGTTGGGGATACAGAGAGACAGAGATGGTCTGAAGAAAATACCAGAAAGGATAAAAGGACTTCAAGTACAGCAAAATTGAAAAATGCAAGTCTATTCATTTTGCAGTCTGAAAGAGGAGAAGAGCTAGATCACTTGTTCTTCAAATGTCATGTGATATTATAATAACAGATTGTAAAAAATAAGTACTTATTTTTCGTATGTTGCTAGTTAACGATAAATAGTGAGAGCATTCGCTTGCAAATTAGCTGACTTTTTTATTCTCTGTGTAACCTTAACTTATTTATTTGAAATAAATTATAGATAAAGCCACTTTTCTACTCCTTTGCCAATTTATCATTCATCAGGTAGTCAAGAGATGGCGCTAAAATTTGCATACTCTCTCGCTGTGTGTCAACGTATCCATCTAGCGATTGCTTTTAAAACAAACTTTGATTAAAGAGATTAACACTAAAGCTAAGAAAGTTTATTTATATAATGAGACAATTCTTAACAAGACTTTTCTCCCACACTCTTTTCTCTCAACCAATCCCGCCCACTTAATCACCACACCTCCTTCCCTATTTCCCCAAATATGCTCACTTAAATAAAATTCTGAATAAGCAAAATTCCTAAGATCAATCTCTTTGCCACAAAATTGTGTCTGATTCATTTATTTATGAATATATATACATATTTCAAGAAGAAAGAAGAAGAGGTGTAGGAGGAGGAGGAGGAGGAGGAGGAGGAGGAGAAAGAAGGTGAGGATAATGGTGCTGATGGTGATGATGAAAGAAAGAAAAAGATAATTTGATTTGGTTTTTTTTTCAAATGAAGCGATTTAAACAAATGATAATAAAGATAACGAAATCTTTTTCCTCTTTGATATTTCTCACCTGTTGGAGTGAATTCTTTCCTTTTATTATCATTTTCATTGTAAGAAGGGAAGGGATAAATTCCTATCTTGAATCTTGACATTCAATCGAAGGAGACAAGAGATTCAATACCTCTTTTTTAGTGGGAAATGGCTGCTTTTTGTGGTTGTGACATTTGTTACATTTTCTGTTCTTTTCTTTTGTCTCTTCAAAAACTCTAAACTATGTTATTATCTAAGAAAGGTGAAGGATGAGTACGTTCTTATAACGGTAGTTATCAGAACTTTTTTCAAACCTAAGAGTTTTAGGTCAGAGGTTAAAAGAAAAAAAAGTAAATATCTCGAGAGAGAGAGAGAGAATGAAGTAGGATAGAATAGGTTTGAGAAAGAAAGCTAGTAAAAAAGGAGGAAATAAGGAAACAATATAGGCGAATAATTGTTGAGGAGAGTTGATTTCTAGGGTTTGATATATATTGTCTTGCAGGTGGAAGTTTCTTCGAAAAAGCTAATATGTATACTCTACCATTGACCTATAAACTTAGATATACAATCTCTAAACAATACTTTCCGATGATTGTCAGAAAAGGGATAATTAACATTTTCAAAAGAGTAGAAGATGTCGTTGATTGAAAGGCAATCGATCCATACTTAAATAGTCTACCGATATTATATAAGTTAGTTTATAGTGCTCTTCTAATCCGTCAAATTTGGGCTAATAATTAAAAATAACAAAAGGAAAAGAAAGTAGAATTTTTCTTGAAAATATTGCCATTTCCATCTGTGCAAAGTGAAAGGAGAAGAACAGAAGGAAAAGAAAAGACGAGAGAGAAGAGAAATTATGATTACAAACTAGAAGAATAACTGTATTTTTGATTTTTTTTTCTCTGAGAAAAACCAAAGCAGGTAAACTAAAGTGCAATTAAGGAGGAAAATACTTAAGTATGAATGCTGCCAATAAAGTAGACAGACGATGGTTGTAAAAGGCTAAAGCGTATATTTAGTGTGCATATACTGTACATAGCGTAAGGGGAGAGAA